CGTCCGGTATTCTCTGATTTTTTTTTACTGGACAAAGAGTGCAAATACCGGACACCTGGCAACCCTAGCCAGGGGGCGGGGCTGCTGGACCTGGGGGGCGTGGCTGCTGGGCCATGGCGGTGGGGCCGTGACCGCTGGGACTCGAGGCCACTGCGTGACAAAGCTGCTCAGCTGATTTTCAATACAGCAAAGGCACCTTCTGCAGTTACTGCCAAGAAAGGCCTGTGGGACTTGCCTTGGCAGGGCGAGGGAGCACTCCCAGGCGCCCTGCCAGGCCCTGGCCGCTGTGGAAAGCGCGAGGACAATGCTCTGCCGTGGCTGGCCCCTTTGCTGCACACAGGCTATTGCGTGCAGAGCCTAGGATCTCTCAGCCCGGCCATGTCACCCCCTCAGGGGCACGACCTGGGAGCCAGGCCTGGGAAGGGTCACTGAGCATTTGTCTGCACAGCCTGTGGGAGGCGCCTCCCAGGCCAGCAGGGGCCACGCGAGCGGGGCAGATGCCCTTTGCCCGGGGGTGGGGCTCTGTGACCAAGAACGTAGAGCAGAGGGGCTGGAACAGGGGCTTTGCAGTTTGGTTCAGTGGCGCTCAGCCCCGCTCACGTTCAAGCACTGTCGCTGGAGCTGTTTTTAGAGCCCCAGTGCAAGCCGCACTAGTGCCAGTCTGCCAGCCGCTGGGAGGCTGTCGAATGCCAGGGCAAGTCCTCCCCTTGCGCCCCATTGGGTTCTTCTCTGTCTTGGGACAGTCGCATCGGCAAAGCGAGGCCACTGGTGCCTCTGCACTATTCACGTGGGCAGCTTACGCGCTCTGGGAGAGTGTGGGGGGGGGGAACGACTCACCAATTCATCAAATGCTCCGGTTCCTTCAGCACCCAGCTGCAAAGGGGTCACTCGTCCCCATGCAGAGCCTTGCTCCTTCCGCAGGGCACAGCGGCACCAGGATCTTCAGTTCTGAGCAGCAGCAGAAGGGAGAGGACCATTGAACCACATGGACAGCAGAGCTCGACTGAACAGTTGGGGCCAGCTCATACGTGGCATTTCCCTCCTTCTGGACAATACATGTCACCATCAGTTGGCAAGCAGAAGGGTATAAATATATCTGCACGGTGACAATGTGCAGCGGGGGAGGATAAAGAGAAAAGTAACAGAGATTTCTCATTTCCAAACGGTCCTGTTATCTTCAGTTGGAAGTCTTCCCAGAACCTGCCGCCAGTGCTAATCTCCAAGGGCTGTGAAAAGCCTCTTTTCACTGGTGAAAAGCATAGTGCAATAACAAAATAGCAATCACACACCATGTTCTGCAGATGTGTGTTTACACAGAATCCAGCACACTGCTAGCTGCAGCTAGTCATTCATTGGCTTTCATTTTTCTTAGCTAGTCTCGCTAGAAATGTGCTGTTAAGGGTGAGGTCTCCTTTCAGCATAGCCCCTACGCTGGGGACAGCATTAGCACACCCTTTCTCCCCAGGCAGTTTGCACACTCGATTGACCTTCAGTTGGCTACAACATGCTGCAAACCACAGCTTTGTGCTCCAACTAAAGTGCAGAGGCAATTTGGTCCATTACAGGGTTATAGTACAAGAAACGCTATACAGCTGTACACCTAGTATTATTATCGGTTAACATCTTAGTTCAATCATTTCTCCTAGCATTGTCCAGCAATATACAAAGCACAGCAATAGCTTAAGCCTCCTTACCAGCACTAATTAAACTTCAATTTTCATTGCCTCCTGTTTCTTGATAGTTTAGATTGTGTGGTTTGTTCGCCAAGCAGCAGCAGTCCTGGTATAACAGCGCAGAGGCACTTTGCCTTGTTTTAAAGCCGGTCTCAATAACCAATGAAAAGTTTCTCTGAGATTATCAGACTGATATGAAGTAGCCACATTTGCAATTACTCATGAGTGATGGAGCAGCTGCTGAATTTACGTTAAGGGGTTAACTTCATGGAGCCAAAGCTATTTGCTGAATGACTGAAAATATCTTGTTTCAGCTTTTAAAAAAAATGAGCACAAGAGTTTTTTATAAGTGACCTAAAAACACTTCCTAGCCCAGCGTGAGCAGGAGCCACCCTCCTGCCCCGAGCTCAGCGATTGTTGTACGCCCTGCACTGATGCCTTTGGGCCAGGGGCTGTCCCGCCCAACACTGAGCTCTGGCTTACTGAGAGCTCCCACTGCGTGCGCCCCAGGCAAGCAGAGAGGCCAGGCGATGCCTCAGGTGACCATGGCCCAGAAGCAATAGTGTCTGTCAGTGCTGCTGGCCGCACAGTTATTTGCACAACAGAAGCTGAGGTGCAACGCTCGGCCGAGAGCCAGCGAGAGAGCAAAGCCACGCCCAGCTCAGACGGGCAGGGCTGTGTGTGTGGGAAGGGGGTACCAGAGCTGGCAGCCCTGCACGTAGCACTGGGCTCCTTAGCGTTGCTCTGGGTGTTCATCCCACAGGTAGCTTTAGGGCGGGGTTTGCCCATGCGCTCGCACTGCCATCACTTGTAAAATGCCCATTGCTGCTAGTAGGCATGTGCCTGGAGAAGGGCTACCCTTGAGCTCACTGGGCGAGTTTGCTTCCTGAACATGAACCCTCCGAACCGGACTGAATGCAAAACCCCACCCTCTGAAATGGGAGCTATTTCCTAATGGTTGCCTAGAGACACGTGCTGCCGGCTGAACTCAGAGCAGTAGGACATAAGAACATTAGAACGGCCAGACTAGGTCAGACCCAAGGTCCATCCAGCCTGATGTCCTGGCTGCCCACAGTGGCCAATGCCAGGTGCCCCAGAGGGAGTGAACAGAACAGGGAATCTTCAAGTGACCCATCCTCTGTCACCCATTTCCAGCCTCTGACAAACAGAGGCCAGGGACACCATCCCTACCCATCCTGGCTAATAGCCATTGATGGACCCAATAAAGTTCAGGTCTTCACAACATCTTCTGGCAAGGAGTTCCACAGGTTGACTGTGTGTTCTGTGAAGAAATCCTTCCTTTGTTTATTTTATATTTTCTACCTGATAATTTCATTTGATGACCCCTAGTTCTTGTGTTATGGGAACAGGTAAAAAAACTTTTCCTTATTTACCTTCTCCACACTGGTCATGATTTTATAGACCTCTGTCATATTTTCCCTTCGTCTCCTCTTTTCTAAGCTGAAAAGTCCCAGTTTTATTAATCTCTCCTCATATAGTTCCCGTTCCAAAACTCTAATAATTTTTGTTGCCCTTTTCCGAACAATTTCCAATGCCAAGGTATCTTTTTTCAGATGAGGTGACCACATCTGTACGCAGTATTCAAGATGTGGGCGTACCATGGATTTATTCTCTATCCCTTTTTAAACAATACCTAACACTCTATTTGCTTTTTAAATTGCTGCTGCACACTAAGTGGATGTTTTCAGAGAACTATCCACCCTGACTCCAAGGTCTCTCTCTTGACTGGTAACAGCGGCTATGTCTAGACTACTGGAAAAACTCCACCGCATCCAGGGAACACGTCTGCTCTTCCAACATTTTTATTGGAAGACCAGATGCGCTCTTCAGAAGCCCCTGTATTCCTTGTTTCATGAGGAAGAAGGGCTCTTCCAAAAGAGGAGGTTTCTGAAATTTGGCCCATTGTAGACGGGCCAAATTTTGGAAAAGCCTCTTCCGAAAAAACGATTGGAAAAAGGTACACAAATTGGGGGGCACAATTTACGCACCTTTTTCCAATAAAACTCCTTAGTCTAGATGTAGCCAGCTAGATTAGTCCCCACCATGGTGTGTCTGTGTATAAATATAGAGTTGGGATTGTGTGTTCCAATGTGCATTACTTTGCATTTACTAACATTAAAATTCACCTGACATTTTGTTGCCCAGTCACCTAGTTTTGTGAGATGCTTTTGAAGCTCTTCGCAGTCTGCTTTGTCTGAACTACCTTGAGCAGTTAGTATCATCGGCAAATGTTGCCACCTCCCTGTTTACCCCTTTCTCCAGATCATTTATGAATGTGCTGAATAGGACTGGCCCCAGTACAGACCCCTGTGGAGCACTATTAGAATGAGTTTTACACAAAAAGCCCCGTTTTCTGACCATCTACTGTACGTTTTCTGGCACAACAACACTGCTGCAGGGTCCTCACTCAGGCCCCTTGCCCTTGGACACCTTCTGGTCCACACGTCAGCTGGAGACCTTCTGGTGCACTCACCTGAGCTTTTATTGTCAGTTCCCACCACTTTCTATTTACAAAGCTTATAGCGCATTCAGCCAGCTCCTCCATCTGCCTGGGAGCACACTCAGCCACACCCGGAACCTTCTCACTCCCCTCTTGCTGCCTTAAATAGCCCTCTGCTCATGAAGCCAACAGCTGTTTCTAATGGCCCTTCAGGCCTGGGCTCTCTCAGCTGTTTCCCATCAGCCTCTTCAGCCAAGCTACAGTGGCAGAGCTGTTAGCCAGCCATCTGTCACAAATGCGCTTGTAGTGTGAATGCTCCATGAGTTTCTGCGCAAAAACAAGCGATTTTGCACAACGATTCTGCAGTCTGGATGTAGTCTTCGTTGCCTCTCCCCACTCTGAAAACCAATTTATTAACCATCAACTGATTAAAGAGAAAAGAATAAGAAAAAATGAGACTGGTTCAATGAGAACACACAGCCCTGCTCTGCAGCACGGGGACATCAACACAGCAGCCTGCAGAGCGTAAGGACAGGCCACAGTCTCTTCCTTATAGGCCCCTTAGAGGCTCTGGATGTGCTGCAGGGGGGCTGCAGGCTGGACACACTTGCTCTGGCAGTGACCACACAGCCTCAAGCTCTAAGTGGCCAGACCCCTCTCCCAGTCTGGCCTGCTGGGCCTCTTGTCTGGTGATATCTCCCTGCCCAGCGCCTCTCCCCGCACTTTGCTGGTCCCAGATGCTCACCACACCCAGCTGCAGGCTGTGCTGCTTTGCCAGTCTCCAGCTCCTTGCGTTGCTTCTCTGTCCCGTTTGGCTCTCTGAGCACTGCCAGTCTGCTGCTCAACACAGGGTCTGCGCTCCTTGGGCTGTGTGTGCCTGGTTCTGTTGCTGCAGGACTGCCCCTCAGCACAGCTTGCACTCCTTGGGCTGTGTGTGCCTGGCTCTGTCGCTGCAGGACTGCCCCTCGGCACAGCTGGTGCTCCTTGGGCTGTGTGTGCCTGGCTCTGTCGCTGCAGGACTGCCCCTCGGCACAGCTGGTGCTCCTTGGGCTGTGTGTGCCTGGCTCTGTCGCTGCAGGACTGCCCCTCAGCACAGCTTGCACTCCTTGGGCTGTGTGTGCCTGGCTCTGGTGCTGCAGGACTGCCCCTCGGCACAGCTTGCACTCCTTGGGCTGTGCGTGCCTGGCTCTGTCGCTGCAGGACTGCCCCTCCGCACAGCTTGCACTCCTTGGGCTGTGTGTGCCTGGCTCTGTCCCTG